CGTCGCCATGAAGACCCCGAAGGTGGGAGATACGAGGCGCGGTAATGAGCGCGCGGCACGCCGAACCGTGCCATGGTTGACGGTCAATTAAAGTCCACGTAGAACGTAAGCGCGCACTGATGGTAAAACGCCACGCAGACGCAGCGACGGTGGCGCCCTCTCGCTCGCTCGCGCGGCACTGGGCGCGCCCCCTCTCTCTCGCGCGCCCCCGAAGAGAGCGGAGCCGGTGAACGTCCGCGGTGGGTCGTCGACCCGCCGGGAGCCGAGCCGCTCGGCCGGCCGCGACGCCAGCGCCGCCTCCGAGATTCAATCCGAACCTCCCCCGGGACCCCAGCCATGGGGTTAGGTACCCGAGCCTAGAAACCAACAAGTATGGCATAACCATTCCCACCCAGGGGTGATAATTCCTCATTTTTCGACGTTTTTCACATGTGCCCATAATTATGAAAGTGGTCTAACTCATATATTTTTTGTTTCGAAATTACATTGAATTAATTTCGTTTGAAATAATATGGCGTGAAATAACTGATAAACTCATTTTTTTTTTTAAATTTTGACTTGGACCACTTTCATAATTATGGGCACATATATTACGTAACGAGGTAGCTGACCGGAGAATAATAGTAGAAAACCAGTAGATTACGTTTCCGATATGAGGAATGCCGCAGGTGGACGAGATACGGCTTCTGCTAGGTTATAAACGTCTTTTAGCGCAGATGTAAACACGGAAGTATTTTAAGGTAATCGGGGTAAACTAAGTCATTAAAATGGTCATTTCAAACGATTCGGTGTACCCACCTGTAGGAAACAAAAATGGCATCGAGAAATGAACTCCCCATGCCTGAAAATTTTCTTTCCAGACCCGCGTTTATCCCCGCCGTGACATTAGACCACTTGACCACGAGCCAGGCTCAATATGAAAGTTTGAGTTTAACCCCTTTTAGTGCCGGGCGAAAAAGAGGTGCTTATGCGAAGATAACCGGCCGAATTTTACGATTTTACTAGGATTTGGAAAAAGGCTCATAAAAACCAAACGGAAAGCAATATTTACATAATTCAAAAAGCAGGGTATTAAGGACAAAATAGAGAATAAAACGGTGACGCTAATTTTTCTATATTCATTGAAAACTACATAAATAACAAAGGTATAAGTGATAAAAAAAAGAAAAATTGAGTTCTCCGTTTCAAAACGTAATTGCACATAGGAAAAGTCATCTTTTTATCATAAATTTATATAGACCGTTTATTGCAAAGTATATACTTTAAATTTCCAATATATTTTTTAACAAAATAAGTAATATTGCACGAGAAACATAAAAAATAACTCCAAGGCACATGGGAGGCGTCGGTCGGATTATCTCATCCGAAACAAGTAATTGTTATAGGTTATAGGTTGTTATAGGTGTTGTTGCATCGTTATTTTAATTCTCTCGTAATGAAATTAGACTATTTATAACGTATTATAAATTTATTTTGAGATAGAGATCTCTCGCAAAGCGAATAGTAAAGCGCTACAAGGTGCGGGCCGATATATCGGCCTCCGGCACTAAAAGGGTTAAAGTAACCGGCAGTTGTATAACCGCCGCAACGAGCGTGCTTATAATAACCGCTCGGGTATCTTTTTCGTAACGGAGTATCTGGAGTCGGTTCGGTCGGAAGCTGGTTCCGAAACAACTTCTCCGACAGCTGGGAAAATAAATCAGCGAAGACGGGCACCCGGGACTCTGGTCACGGGACTCCATCTTGGCGGAAAACGCAAACGTTGTGTTTGGCCAGTTCGATCAGCGGTCGCGATCTCTTGGCAGAATCCTCGGATGGTCCGGTCGCGATAATGGAGAAAAAAACCTCTCGAAACGGACCCACGGAGTCGCAATTCTCTGAAAAGCCGGCGCACGTTATTAGGTCTCGGAGAGACCGCGCGGGTATTTAAAGTATATTGTCCCGCGTCCTTCCCCTCGAGGGAGAAAAACGCTGGCCTCTTCAGCGGAAATCCTGGGAGACTCGGGACGCCGGCGTGCCTCTAGTCGGTAATGCAGGCCCGACGGCGGGCGAGAGTCGGCCACTCGTCGGTCTCGAGGGTTTCTGCAAATTTTTCATTTAAATCCTCCGCAACCTCGAGTAGAGCCGCCAGGGCTTCTCATTTTCGAGAACCCCGCCGGCGCCACTGCGGCGCAAAATTCTTTCGGGTGATGGAAACAGTCTATATGCTTTGTGAACTTATGTTTCCAGTTTTACGCCTCTTTTCTTGTATAAAAGTGGTTACATCGAAGAATTTTCGAAATCTGTCATTTAAATCCTCCGGAACCTCGAGTCGAGTCCTCAGGGTTTCTTATTTTCGAAAATGCCGCCGGCGCCAATGCGGCGCAAAATTGTTTCAGGTGATAGAAACAGTCTATATGCTCTGTAAATTTATGTTTTCAGTTTTACGCGTTTTTTTTTTTTTTGTATAAGGGTGATTATGTCGAGGATTTCTCCAAATCATTGATTTAAATCCCCCGTAATTTCTAGTCGAGTCCCCAGGGTTTCTCATTTTCCAGAACGACGCCACTGCCGTCCAAAGTTGTTTTGGGCGATGGAAACAGTCTATATGCTTTGTGAATTTATGTTTCCAGTTTTACGCCTTTTTTCTTGCATAAAAGTGGTTACGTCGAAGGTTTCTCTAAATTTGTCATTTAAATCCTCCGTAACCTCGAGTCGAGTCGAGTCCTCAGGGTTTCTCATTTTCGAGAATACCGCCAGTGTCCCTGCAACCCGAAGTTCAGTTTTGGAGCGACGAAAACATTTTGCATGGTGATATGAAAGTGAAATATATGCATAACAAAAAGTCAAAATTTTATAAATATTATAAATGTTTTGACTTTTCGTTATGTATATATCTCACTCTCATATCACCTTATCATCATTCAAAATGTTTTGATCGCTCCAAACGTGATCTTCGAGTTAAAGGTACATTGGCGGCATTCTCGAAAATGAGAAACCCTGAGATCTCGACTCGAGGTTACGGAGGATTTAAATGACAAATTTATAATATTTATAATATTTTGACTTTTCGTTATGTACATATCTCACTCTCATATGTGCCCATAATTATGAAAATGGTCTAAGTCAAAATTGAAAAAAAAAAATGAGTTTATCAGTTATTTCACGCCACATTATTTCAAACTAAATTAATTCAATGTAATTTCGAAACAAAAAATATATGACTTAGACCACTTTCATAATTATGGGCACATATCACCTTATCACCATTCAAAATGTTTTGATCGCTCCAAACGTGAACTTCGGGTTACAGGTACATTGGCGGTATTCTCGAAATTGAGAAACCCTGAGAAGTCGACTCGAGGTTACGGAAGAATTTAAATGACAAATTTAGAGTTTGAAATGAAATATTTATAATATCTTCACTTATGTATCACCTTAAGCCGCTCATTAACCCCAAAGAGATCGAAGCAGGAAACGAGAGTACGATTAGTACTCTTGCAAAGCTCCGCTGTTCGGGATACTTCGGTAGAATATTATCCGTTCGGTGCGGCCGTTTCCTTCGCTGTTCACGTATCGCTCTCGGCGTCCGTAATCTCGGTTTATGCCGCGTTCCGTTATTCCTAACTCCATCTTGGCGTAGAGCTCGACGTACATCCGCTCTTCCCACTGGCGTAGCCACTTTTTCATAGTCTATTCTCCCTAAGATGCTCGAATAGCCAGAAACAAGACCAAGTGATTAAGGTGAAACCTCCCGGAAATCAGTCGATTCGAATAAGACACTCTTTTTTAATAGCGTTGGATCAAACCGTCTGAAACTTTCGCACATGACTCGTGAGCACCTAGGAATTATCCTGACACTTCCAAAATATATGGGTTTTTGACATGAATTTTTTAACTTAGCCCAGTCCAGAAACAAAATGGCGTCGAGCTTTCATATTTCGTCTGGAACTTCCACACATGACTCGTAAGCACCTAGGAATTATCCTGACACTTTCAAAATATATGGATTTTTGACATAAATTTTTTAACCCTCTATGGGCCGAATTTTTGTTTTAGTAAAAAAAAAATTGGGGAAACGAAAAATCAGCAATTAGGAACCTATATATGCAAATTAAAAAAAATGTTTCATTTAAAATGTGACCTGAAAGTTACACGGGCCCATAGGGGGTTAACTTAGCCCAGAACAGAACTAAAATGGCGTCCAGCTCTCATATTTCAATGAATATACAATTATTGAAGGCTCTAATACGGGTAGATTACGGGGACGAAAGTGTCGACAGTTGTAGAATTTAGAACACTGGTAATCAATAGACTCGCATTTCAACGGGATAAAGGCAAAATAAGTATCTTATGCTCTGTTATGCCAAAACGATGATAACATGAGCTCTCCTAGTGAAAATTTAGTTGACACGGAAGTCACAGATGGCGCAAGGGGTCCATCTACAGTCAATTAGGGCCTCGGAAACCTCGAATCCAGGGGATTTCTGAAGTTCAACTTCGATTTCATTATAATTATTGTAAAAAGACAAGGGGTGGAGTATGCCATTTAGTCCAATACCCAATATAATTCGACCCAGCTGTTAATATAAAAACGATGGCGGCAACGTAGGTATTTAGAAAAACCATTTTACGTCCTCTTCAGGCTGAACGTTCCTTGTTACCGAATCGCATTGTTGTCCGTCGTGTTAACACTTTACCGACCGAAAGCCTATTAATCGCTTTTGCGATACCTATGAGTGCTATTTATTTCAAAATTCGCCGGTTGGTAAAGTGTTAAATCAAAGACAATGGACTCTCAAAGAANGCCCATGCCCATGCTCATGCTCATGCTCATGCTCATGCTCATATTCATATTCATATTCATATTCATATTCATACATCATTCACAGTCATACATATACATATGTATATGTATATATGTATATATATATGTATATGACACTTTCATATTACCTTAAGTGTTACTCAGTCTTGTCAACGACAGCAGATGGAATGAACCGAGATTTGGCTTTTTCCAGGTTCAGGGCCAGTACCAGGTGATACCGGCGTACTACGATCAGAATGGGTCCATCGTGATGGGAGGAGTACGGGGTTTGGGATCGGCAGCGACCCCCATGAGACTCGTAAGTCCAGCACCGGTGCTGGTCAACAGAGCTCCGTCCCAGCCTCCACCTGGACCGCCGGCACCACCTCCGCCCAGCCTCTACTCTCAGCCGACCCCGACGTCACACAGCAACGCCACTCCTGGAGAATGCCTAGGTACCCACGATTCGTCGAACTCTTCGGGGAAACGGCGCACCCTGACGGCAAAGCTGGTCAAAATGAAGGAAAATGCGGACAGAGAGAAATTGACAAGGGCTTAGCCTTCAGGGTGTCCCATGTAGTTTCCTGTTTGCCATGTATGAATGATCGTTGACACTGTAGTGACATGATTGCTGGCCAAAATGTCGAAAAATGCTGAAAGAAAGAATCTATCAAGGGCTTGGCCTACAGGGTGTCTCATGTACTTTCCAAAATGCTGAAAGAAAGAATCTATCAAGGGCTTAGCCTACAGGGTGTCTCATGTACTTTCCAGTTTGCCATGTATGAACGATCATTGACCCTGCCGGGACGTGATTGCTGGCCAAAATGACGGAAAATACTAAAAGAAAGAATTCATCAAGGGCTTAGCCTATAGGGTCAATGATCATACACGGTAAACATAGGGAAGTACACTGGGAGACATCAATGCCCTCCCATCCTGCACAGGCGATGCCGTATCTGCAGGGGAGGCATTCATGTCCGCCATTCTACATGGGATACGTTCACAATTGCACATTTTTGTGACATTCTAAATGTTCGTGGGACAGAAATACGCTGCACATTTTTCTGACGTTTGCGCTTTTTCATGATATTCCATTTCTCAATGTGCATCACATATGTCTAAGGCTATAAATAATCGGGAAAGAGGTAGTTCTACGTCAAAATGGAATTTGTATTTTGGGATTATTGACAGTCAGACTTAGTAAAGGGGTCACTCGGGCGTCTATTGCCAAAGAGACGAGAGCCTAATTGTCATGTACGGTTCTCTGTGTCAGTCTAAAATCGAGTTTCGTATGAATCTCGGGTATCGAGATCTAAGACAAACGTTTGACTTCCAGTCTGAGTAAATGCAGTTTAGTCTATTCCCAATTCCGTAATTTCTAGGAGATTACAGGAGAAACGTAGAATATTTTATGACGCTTACAGTTTATTCCAAGACAATTAAATGTATCAAATTATTCCTTCGTCCTTATGAGATATTTTTAGAATTTATTCTCAGGTACTGAAAAAGTTACGAATTCTGTGATAGCTTTCTATTGTGAACAGCATTTAGTCTTTGTTGGTCGTTGGAATCTATAAAATTGGTTGCTAATATAGAATGAAGTTAGATATCTTCATAATGAACGATCCTAAAAACACTTTCGACATAAATTTACTCGCAGTTTCGATATGCCAGTCAAAAAAGTGTGTAAAAAATATGACACTGTTTCAATTTTTCCTGCCGAATTGTATAATTAAAAATTTACCTAAAACTGATGAAATATAACGTTAGTATATAGAAATTTCACATTCGGCTAGATATTATATTTTGATCAGCCATTCTATCATCTTTGCCAATGTGCAACGGTGAAAGAAAAAAGTCTTGCAAAGTCATTTGCACTTGACTTAACTGCGTACATAGAATTTCCATTCATTAAATTTTTTTAATTTTTCATTCTGCCCCCTATAATTAAACATTCAGCTAAAACTGGTGAAATATATCATTAGCATGCAGAAAATTCACTTTTAAACTGACTAAGTTTTGATCAGCTGTTTTGTCATCCTTATCAATGTGCAACGGTGAAGGAGAAGTTTCGCGACGTTATTTGCAATTGATTCAACTACTCTGTACATAGACTAGAGAAATCGACACTTTTTTTACACCTGACGACCGAAAGGAAGTACCGCAAACTATATCGAATCGTTTCGCAAATTTCAAGGAGGGTATACTGATTGCTCCTTTTAACGGGTGTGTGGTCAATCGATGAGTCGGTAGCACAGTAATCTAGGTCATAACTAATGGTTATCCTAGCGTTATAAATATGTGCACGTGCACGGAAAACGGCAAGATCGTGTTCACGAAATTGCACGAACACTTTATTCGCCATTATGTACTACTGATCGACCCGATAATGCCAACAAATCGTCTTTCATCCCTCTAATGGCACCTTCGAATTCAGACTTTGTCGCATTAAGGTGGTATGAAAGTGTAATATATACGTACTATAAAGTCAACATATTTATAAAACTTTTCTCCAAACTGGGTGCACCGAATTATCTGAAACTTTAACACGTGATTATGGAGGCCCTAAGGAATAACACGCTTCCCATAAGATTTCTCTTTTCTTTAAAAAAATTCGACGTTCAACGTCGATGAAATTTCTTTATATATCACGTTAATGCATGTAGCTAAGCACGTGGATGGATGTGTGGGTACGTAATTGTATATATTTCTTTGCAGGTCTTGCAGCGTGCAGCGCTGCAGCGGCGGTAGCGCAGGCGCAGGCGGTGGCGGTGCAGCAGGCACAGCAGCAAGGATCAGGCTTGGCTGCAGGCTTGGCCGCTCTGGGTTACGGAGGCTCGCCGCTAGGGGCGCTGGGTTCGCCGGCGCAACTTCAGAGCACAGGTATAACCAAGCTAGTAATTATATTTTTAACAATTTGCGGTCCGCAATACGAAGTACTCTATGGTACTCCCTGACTCAAGTAAACAAACTGATCCTATAATGCGTAAATGAATGTTAACCCTTTCGTTACGAGCGCCGACTATAATATGGAGGCTATAAGGAAGGTCCTGATACATATGAAATTTCACTTTTTAAATTTGTTTACACATATTCATTAATTTTGTTAATAAAAAATGGAACTTCTTGACTGCCAGGACCTTTCTTAGGGCCTCCACAATTACGTAGCAAAGTGCCAACTAATTCAGCGCATTTAGTTCGCATAAAAGTTTTATGAACAAATGACCCTGCAAGTACCACTTTCGTGTCATCTTAACACTAGAAATACCAAGACCAGTCAAATTGACTGGTTTCAAATGGCCCGTCCTATACAAAAAAAATCCACCGGTAGTTCTAGTGTTAACTAGTTAAGTTTCTGACGAGTATACTCGATATGAAAACACACGTTTCAAAGAGGTTTGCAACAGCTGATTGGTTAAGAGTGTTTATATGCGACCGGAAGCCAATTCGCACGTAAGGACGTAACAGCGGAAGTCTCAAGGCCTTAAAAAAGAGATTGAAATTCATGTTCCGGTCCTCGCGGCCTTGTGAGATTCCTTCGTGTAATTCTAAACGAGCTTTTTCGTTTCAGGTTTGGGACTAGGAGCCTCCTCCACCGGAAGAAGAGACTCCTTCGACAGGAACACATCCGCCTTCAGCCCCAGCTTGGAGTACAGCCGTGCAAAATGGCCCCAAAGCTATGGCGCTCTCGGTAAGAATCGCGACCTCGAAAACACGATGAACAGTTGAAGGTCCCGACATTTTGGCGAACCTAAGATAGTCCCGGTCCCATAGCGCGTTATGTTTAATTTATATTAAATTCTTTCCTCTACCTGCTTGACAAATCGGCATTTCGCGACACTTTGGCGCACTTAACCCTTTGAGCGCTGTCGACGAATATGTGCGTCCGACGTTTGGCCCAATATCGCGCGCACGGTCTAAGGAAATTCGCCCGTATGTCGAAAGTGCTTAGCGCTCAAAGGGTTAAGATAGTCCCGTTCCCATAACGCGTTATGTTTAAATTCTTTCCTCTATCTGCTTGACAAATCGGCATTTCGCGACATTTTGGCGCACTTAACCCTTTGAGCGCTGTCGACAAATATGTGCGTCCGACGTTTGGCCCAATATCGCGCGCACGGTCTAAGGAAATTCGCCCGTATGTCGAAAGTGCTTAGCGCTCAAAGGGTTAAGATAGTCCCGTTCCCATAACGCGTTATGTTTAAATTCTTTCCTCTAATTGCATGTACTGCAGCAAGTACATTTTTTTTCGAAAAAAAGAAATTTCACGAGCAGCGCGTTATTCCTTAGGGTCTCCACAATCACGTGTTAAAGTTTCAGGTAATTTAGTGCACCCAGTTTGGAGAAAAGCTTTATAAACATTTTCACTTTTCCTTATGTATGCGTCGGACTTTCATGTCGCCTTAAGGTGAGGTCCTTATTTCGTACTGAATAAAAACTAGCGAGCCTAATCGAACGCTCGATGGCAAGGACTGCATGCTGCGTCATTCGGTTTAATTATCTGTTGGCTATGTGAGTCACGGCAGAATTCATCGATCGCCCTGGCAGATTCAGGATCTCGTATAAATAGAGAAATTCTCGTACGCTGTGTGGGACTTCAAACGTGTAGAAAATTACTTTCCATCGAATGCACCAATTGACGGAATTAATTGCCACTTCCGTGTCTGCGGTGCCCTTTGACGATTGTGGTGGGCTGTTTCACAAGCTCGCCAGCTAATTTTTAAGGGGTCAAAAATTGTATTTCTTAAAACGAATTACGCATTAAGGTGATGCGAAAGTGGCATCAAAGGGATCAAATCGTTTATGAAACTCTTCACTGAGCTGAGTGTACCGAATCAATTGATATTTTACCACATGAATATGAAAGTCTTAAGGTGATATGAAAGGGTCATTACATGTATATCAAAACGTCAAAATATTGATAAAACATTGTTTTAAAAATGAAATTTCACGAGCACCACGTTCTTTCTTAAGGTCTCCATAATCACGTGCTGAAGTTTCAAATGTTTCGGTGCACTCAGTTTGTAGAAATGTTTTATAAATATTTATCCTTTCAAATGATATATTTGACCTTAAGAAAGAACGTGGTGCTCGTGAAATTTCATTTTTAAAACAAAGTTTTATAAATATTTTGACGTTTTAATATATAATACCTTAAGGTCATTATATAAATATATATAATGCTACCGAATCAATTGATATTTTACCACATGAATATGAAAGTCTTAAGGTGATATGAAAGGGTCATTACATGTATATCAAAACGTGAAAATATTGATAAAACATTGTTTTAAAAATGAAATTTCACGAGCACCACGTTCTTTCTTAAGGTCAAATATATCATTTGTAAGGATAAATATTTATAAAACATTTCTACAAACTGAGTGCACCGAAACATCTGAAACTTCAGCACGTGATTATGGAGACCTTAAGGAAGAACGTGACGCTCGTGAAACTTCTTTTCTGTTACAAAATCTTTTTATTTATCTCAGATTAGAACTAAGGATACATATTTGTTCATGAGCACCGCGTTCTTCGTTAGGCCTCCATAATCACTTGTTGAAGTTTCAAATGATTAGGTGCATTCAATTTGGAAAAAATTTTTGTTAATATTTTGACGTTCTGATATATAGTATGACCCTTTCATATCACTTTAATACTAGAAGAGTTTACTTGCTCGAGACCATAGACGGAGTCAATGTGCGACCTCGGTTCCGAATGACTAAGTCCAACCAAGGACTACTAATTGAACGAATCGTGCAATGCCTTGTATGACTTGGAATTCTTAATTCTCTCAATTCACTCGCTGGTCATGTACATTCGATAACGTCATTGACGTAATAGCCTTTGTCGAGTCAATGGTAGCTTTATAATACTATATTGTACAGAAAGTATTTGTATATTAAATATCTCTACGTGATGTAAAGTAAAATCCCCGATGGACTTTTCTTGTTCTTTCGGAACTGTTGAATGAATTTAATTGGTGATAAGCACAAAGTGCTAAACTAATCTAGATCGTCTATCTAAGGTCTACGTAACTTTTGCAGAGGTATGAATATATAAATATCGTACACGTTTTACTTAGGATACTACCGACATAAGTTTAATAAATATTTTGACCTTTTGACGTATATAGAATGACCCTTTCATATCACCTTAAGGCGATGTGAAAATGGCGTCAAAGGCGTGTTAGTACGTATTATCGCGTTTATACTTTCGTTTCTTAACATGTATCGTTTTTCGTTTTTTTCGCCTCAGGTGTATCTCTCTTCAATCCACAATTCTGCCATGTTAAATACTTTGTTTAAACAAATGTTAGCTTATTTATCGGAGTTTATACACATTTCTTGCCGATCGCAGTGGCGGACGAACCCCTCCCCTCCCTTACAAACATCCAACGAAAGGCAATAGGTTCTGAAGGAGGAAATAGATTTCTCTAATTTCCGAGTTAATAGCCCCTCGGGGAATAGTTTTTGCATAACATTTCATTTGTCATAAGCATAAAATGTCATTTGGCATAAGCGTTGACTACTGTATTTGGTTTCAGGAACGGTGACGGCGTCGCCCAGTCCTTTGGGGTTGTCGTTGACTCCGCCGCCAACCTTGGGAGGTTCCCTGGGAGGCCTCGTAGGTGGCGCCAGCCGCGTCTCCGCAGCGCCCGGCGCCGAAGCGAAGTTCCGGGCCAACGCCGTGCCAGCCCTCACAGCAAATGGGGTCTTCGGATCCAGCAGCTCTCTCTTCCCGAATCTGGTCGGCAAACCCGGCCGTGGAGGCGCCCCGGGTGTCGTGGGCGAGAAGAACACCGGAGGAAGATCGCGTCTCCTGGAGGACTTCAGAAACAATCGGTCGGTGTTGACCCTTTCGCTACGCTCAGCGAAGATATTAAGTTCCCGCCGTTATTAACATAACGTAACGCAAATAATTCAGAAGTCCCATAGAGTCCCATTCGGAGATCCTATGTTAGCGCTTGATGTTCTAAAAGTTGGCTAACAAACCAGAAGTGGGGGGTAAAAGAGAGATCGCATGTGTTAGCCAACGACAGGGTTGGGTAATTTCACGATTTTCGAGGGTTTTCACATACATTACGTAAATCAAGTACTGTACCGTAGAAAACGTGGAAAACCAGGAGAAACGTATCAAATATGGCGGACAAGACAACGTAGGGCATGCGGTATCCGCTGGGTTATGAACATCCATCTTGTCCATTTGTTTCATCCCATAATTTACTTTTTGGTCTCCCACCTTTATACGTTTTGATACAAATATTGGTTACGTATCTTGCGACTTCAAGTTATCAGTTAACATTTTCACAATAGTGAAGTAAATTTCCTTTACATTGAGTATTGTACTAAATGGTACAATACTCAATGTAATACGACACAGCTGTCAATAAAAATTGAGACAATTGTGCACCAATTTAGAATACTAGTAATCGAGAAACTTGCATTTAAACGGGATAAAAGTTTAAAAGTGGCTTATGAGCTTCTGTGCACAGATTAAGGTAAAACGAGGTCTGGGAAAGAACATTTAGTTGGCACTGATTGCTACAGATGGCGCAGTGTGACACTGGGTCGTCAAATAAAGAATGAAAAATCATTAGTTCAGGGGATTTCTGGAGTTTCACTTTCATTTCTTTATCATCATTGTACGGAAACGACATATGGAGTATACCGTTGAGTACATTGAGTACTGTACCATTTAGTACAATACTCAATGTACTCAACAGTATACTCCATATGTCGTTTCCTTTACATTGAGTATTGTACTAAATGGTACAATACCCAATGTAATACCACACAGCTGTCAATAAAAATACGAACGTCGGTAACGTAGGTAGTTAGGCAAATCATGTTTACCGACGTCGATTGAATTTCTCGACGGGTCTCGTGTCACCTTAACAAAGGAATACACCTGCTCATAATTACAACGATTTTCCAGATTCCCGAATCTTCAACTACGCGACCTGGCCAATCACATAGTCGAGTTTAGTCAGGATCAGCACGGATCGCGATTCATCCAGCAGAAATTGGAGCGTGCCTCCGCCAACGAGAAGCAGCTCGTCTTTCAGGAGATTCTGGCATCCGCTTACTCTCTCATGACCGATGTCTTCGGCAACTATGTCATCCAGAAATTCTTCGAATTTGGCACCCCCGAACAGAAGTCTACACTCGCCCAGAAGGTAGCCACATACTCGATGATGACGTTCAAGAGGCCTCATTACTCTAGACGATCAAAATGAGATGATACTTACGAACCAGAAAAATACTATACGTCGTATTAACTTGAAATTCTCTACACTAAAAGGGGATGTGAAAGTGACATCCGAAGAGTCAATCGTTCATGAAACTTTTACTCCGAACTGGGTGTGCTGAATTATTTCAAAATTGACAAAGTGAATGTAGAGACTATATGGAAGGTCCTGACACTCGTGAGATTTCGCTTTTCAAAACAAATTTTTAATATATCTATGAAAAAATTTTTAAAAATTGTAATTTCTACTAAGGTGCATCGAACTAGGTGCATCGAATCTGTTGAAATTGTACGATCTAAATATGAAGGTTCTAAACAAGCTCCAGCACCCAGGAAATTTCATTTTTTATTATACGAAAAATATATAATTTATAAATAAATTTAAAAAGTGGAATTTAAAGGGTATCAGGACTTTCCTTAGGGCCTCCATATTTACGAGGTGTAATTTCAAACGATTCAATGCACCCAATTCAGTGAAAAGTTTCAGAAACGAGACTCCTCAACCGCTACTTTCATATCTTAACTACAGCTTATTTTTTTTTTTTTTTTTCACGTAAATATATAAAATTATTCCACAGTTCCATTTCGCTCTCATGAAATTCTGTTTCATTACATTTCACTCGTGCCTTTCTATTTTTTTTCATTAGAGCCTTATTCAAAGCCAATTACAAAGATATTCGAGGCTGCCGATTGCCCATTTAAAAGCCTAATAGATAATTACCGGCTTTACATTGCAAATGAAAAATGGGATCAATAATTTATTCCCAATCGACCCCAAGTTAAGAGAGTACCCAACAATAGATTTTTCCATAAGTTAAAACTTGGGGCCATATTTTATAATTAATTCCCGGTCAATTATTAGGTGGTACAACTTTGCTTCCGCCGCTTACCGCTAGAGCCATCTATAGGAAAACGGCGAAAGCTATACGCCTAATAGAATTTAGTGCTTCTAGCAATTAATTAGTGATTGGGCACAAATGTAAATGTGACCAGTAATAGCCGGCAATAATATCTTGAAAATGTGATCAGTAATTTAATGGGGATCCGACCAATCGTGCCTATCTCGGTATTGGATTAATAACGACCCTGAGTCGGCGACACATTGATGATGAATGATGATGATGTAGCGTGTCAGCTGACAAAGTCACTGTGATTATGTAGCAAGCACTGACTTCGGATTAACGACTGCGTCGGCTTTCCGGGTCCTCTCTTCAGCTGTTCCATGATTTTCCTTCTGCTCTTCAGGTTCGCGGCCACGTTTTACCTCTGGCCCTGCAAATGTACGGCTGCCGGGTGATCCAGAAGGCGTTGGAGTCCATCGGGCCCGAACAGCAACAGGAGATCGTGCGCGAACTGGACGGCCATGTCCTGAAATGCGTTAAAGATCAGAATGGTAACCACGTCGTGCAGAAGTGCATCGAATGCGTGGAGCCAAGAGCCCTGCAGTTCGTCATCGGCGCATTCGCCGGCCAAGTCTACTCTTTGAGCACGCACCCATATGGATGCAGAGTCATACAACGCATCTTGGAGCACTGCACCCCGGAGCAAACCCAGGGCATCCTCCAGGAGCTGCACACCGCCACCGATCAGCTGATACAGGATCAATACGGAAATTACGTGATTCAGCATGTCCTAGGTACCCAGACAGACAAAGTTGAAAATTGCATCTAATTTGCCTCATAGAAGATCATGAAATGAGTCATGAGGGTGTCGCTTATGAGTCCTCGTTTGGAACCTCATATCCGTAGGACACAATGACGGTCTAAAAATACTTAACCCTTTTAGTGCCGGAGGCCGATATATCGGCCCTCGCTGCACTGGCGAAAAGTGCCGGAGGCCGATATATCGGCCCGCACCTTGTAGCGCTTTACTATTCGCTTTGCGAGAGATCTCTATCTCAAAATAAATTTATAATACGTTATAAATAGTCTAATTTCATTACGAGAGAATTAAAATAACGATACAACAACACCTATAACAACCTATAACCTACCCGTAACAACCTATAACCTATAACAATTACTTGTTTCGGATGAGATAATCCGTCCGGCGCCTCCCATGTGCCTTGGAGTTATTTTTTATGTTTCTCGTGCAATATTACTTATTTTGTTAAAAAATATATTGGAAATTTAAAATATATACTTTGCAATAAACGGTCTATATAAATTTATGATAACAAGATGACTTTTCCTGTGTGCAATTACGTTTTGAAACGGAGAACTCAATTTTTCTTTTTTTTTTTTATCACTTATACCTTTGTTATTTATGTAGTTTTCAATGAATATAGAAAAATTAGCGTCACCGTTTTATTCTCTATTTTGTCCTTAATGCCCTGCTTTTTGAATTATGTAAATATTGCTTTTCGTTTTGTTTTTATGAGCCTTTTTCCAAATCCTAGTAAAATCGTAAAATTCGGCCGGTTATCTCCGCATAAGCACCTCTTTTTCGCCCGGCACTAAAAAGGTTAAATATGAAAGAAAGTTAAGCACATGCAATGTGGCAATGTTTGTACGCATAGGTATAACAAAATTTATCTCACGCATTGCTGATAAATAATTTCAGCGTCCGTAGCTCGTTTTTAAGGCATGGCGTGGTGTTATGGCTCCTGTTAAATTTTCCATATATTTTCAGCTCATAAATATCAGTTGTGGCATAACTGGCATATGACTTGAGTATGCGGTAAACATATTGCTACAACCATTTACAACAAATTTGCCGGGAATTTTTCTTCAAATTTATTATGTAATATGCGTACATATATTGCAGACATTTCTTGCAGCAAGTGGTCTGCGAATTGCTTGTAAAACGATTTTCTTGATCATGTTTTCTTCGTCATCATTATTATTTATAATTTAATTTTGGAATTATTATTTTTCGCGCTTGGTCGCGCTTACAAGCATTCTATGTAATCGTACCCTGACTCATCTCCTTGCACGAAGTCTAGTATAATAACCCGTGTCTATTCTGTCGTAGAACACGGCAAGCCCGAGGATAAGGCTCAACTGATAAGCAGTGTCAGAGGTAAAGTGCTCGCACTCTCTCAGCACAAGTTCGCCAGCAACGTCGTGGAGAAGTGCGTGACGCACGCCACAAGAACAGAGCGCGCTGTTCTCATCGAGGAAGTGTGCGGCTTCAACGATAAGTAAGTTCCATCTTGGAGACGAAAGTTCTAAGAGATGTCTCAGGTTTGTTCGCGTTGTCTGCATTTTCTACCCTCGAGGGTGACGAGGGTACTACACTTTTCTTGAAAAGTGCAGAAGGGTAGATACACTTTCGTCGACGTCCCGAGCGCCAGAAACCTCACGAAAGTCCAAGATGGCCGATTTAGTAGAGAGGTACGCGATTTTGCGGTTATCCGTATCGGACGATGACGAATACGAAAACGTAATGCTTCTTCCAGCCTTCCTTCTTGAGCTGTCTTCGTATTCTTCAAATCCTACAATTCGTTCTATTACCTTGTAATCGTAGAAGATGAAAATTCCTTTCACGAATTTCAGGTATCGAGGATCAATAAGGGTAAGAATATTATTGCAGTGGAATGAAAAACAATTTAAGTACGACAGGGAAAAATTATAGTTGAGTTCGTTCAAACCGCGGTTACGTAGTAATACATAAGTATTGTAAATTTTTTCAAGCATTATGTACAATACTAAAACGCTAAATCGTTCTATACACGAAGAAGATGCATTAATAATTACTTCTCGCCCTCGCTCGGGATCGAGGGTAGAAAGGGTAGAAAAAGTGTATCCTCGGGGTAGATGCCCTCGCTAAACGATCAGCGACATCTGCGTCACTTCCGTCGACACGAACGCCAAAGTGTACACTTTTCGTAAAAGTGTAGAAAGTGTTGGCAAAGCGAACAAACCTCTTGACACTCAGAAAATTTTATCTGTACTTTTTTACAGTAGACTCCCGTATAATGCGGTTAATACGTTACGTCCTACATGAATTCGCGTTATAGGAAATCGTGCTGTACAGGAATTGTTCTCGCATAACGCGCATAATGTGTCTTGTTATTTGGCGCGTTGTACGAAGAATCGCGTTATAAGAAAGCCTGATGTACGGTAATTGTTCTCGTATAACGCGGCCAATGTGTCTTGTTATTTGGCGCGTTGTGCGAAGAATTGCATTATATGAAAACAGTAGTTGCCATGTCTTTGACGCGTTATAAGAAATCCTGCTGTACAGGAATTGTTCTCTCATAACGCGCATAATGTGTCTTGTTATTTGGCGCGTTGTACGAAGAATCGCGTTATGTGTCGTTATTTGGCGCGTTGTACGAAGAATCGCGTTATGTGTCTTGTTATTTCTCGTATTGTATGAAGAATCGCGTTATATAAAAACAGTATTTCCATATCTTTGACGCATTATAAGAACTCGTGCAGTACGGGAATTGTTCTCGTATAACGCGCATAATGTGTCTTGTTATTTGGCGCGTTGTGCGAAGAATTGTATTATATGAAAACAGTAGTTTGAATATCTTTGGCGCTTTATAGGAAATCATCCTGTACGGGATTTTTTTCCCGTATAATGCGCATAATGTGTTTCGTTATTCGGCGCGTTGTGCGAAGAATTGTATTAGATGAAAACAGTAGTTGTCATATCTTTGACGCGTTATAAGAAATCGTACTGTACAGGAATTGTTCTAGCATAACGCGCATAATGTGTCTTGTTATTCGACGCATTGTACGAAGAATCGCGTTATGTGTCTTGTTATTTCTCGTATTGTATGAAGAATCGCGTTATATAAAAACAGTATTTCCATATCTTTGACGCGTTATAAGAAATCCTGCTGTACAGGAATTGTTCTCGCATAACGCGCATGCGAAGAATCGCATAATAACCCTCTTAACCATCTCTCCCCGACGAGTAAGCAGCATACAGTAACGCCATCTCCGTACCTTTGCAGCTCCTTGAACGTGATGATGAAGGACCAGTACGCCAACTACGTGGTGCAGAAGATGATAGACGTGGCCGAGCCGGCGCAGCGCAAGGTGCTGATGCACAAGATCCGACCGCACCTGGGAAGCCTGCGCAAGTACACCTACGGAAAGCACATCATCGTGAAGCTGGAGAAGTTCTTCATGAAGACGGCCTCGGCGATGGGAGTGGCGACGCCCTCGGGCGGGTCGACCGGGGCGGCGGACCTGGGGCCGATCGGGCCCCCGGCATCCGCCGCGGGTTCCGTGCCGACCCCGGCGCAGCAGCCCACTCAGGTTTTATAAGCTCCGACGCCGAGACGAGCAGTCCCCCTCGCACGCCCGGGTTAGACCTTGAGGAGAAAGCCAGAAGACCACCCAAGACCGGCCAAGGTAGCGCCAGTGTCGCGCCGATTCCCGCAACTCTCGCGCCTGGAGGACGAGCGTCGTCTCCGTCGAGGGGCAGACGTGGGGAAGCCAAGAGCAGAGGTCGAGCCCCGGGGCGAGGCCCTGCCGGAATCGGCCCGGCACTCGCGAGGTTAACGGAGCACGCGAGCAGTTCCGCAGAGTCGATGGTTAGGAAGTCTCGAGCCAGTGGATGTTCCATCGACGAACGAGCGAGGAGAGGTGCAGGAGGTGGAGCCGTCGCCGAGGCGCGAGGCCAGGTCCTCGTGGACGAGGCTCCTAGGGCGTGGCGACGCTCCTCTTAGAGATAGACGGCCGTCGAGCACGGGGAGTCGGGTCGGGCCGGGTCGAGCGCGTCGACCTCGCCTTCCGCGATGACGACGGCCTCCTCGGTCGGCCCTTACCCTGGTCCCCGGGGCTCGGCCGCCTCGAGTAAGGAGGATATTAACTCGGCCGGATGTCAGACGTCTAGACGGCTAGGATAGACCTTAGTTGGCTGCATGCATTTAACAATTTGTACGACGGTCGCGACGGCGACGGCACGGCGCTGCGGTCGCCACCTCGGAGCCGCCATTTCGGAGCCGGCCGTTTGAAAGTACCGGGCGACCTCGTCGACCTCGACCGATTAGGGAGTGCCGTGTCCTCGACCGTAGCGCCGCATATTGCGAGGGGAGAAAAAACCCTAGTATTATCGTTGTGTACGGTTTCGGCGTCTAGTGCCGATCGGCCTTAAGATCGGAGACAAGAGGCGAACTCGATAGAGAGGTTAGGCGTCACCGGACCTTGCCCGTCTGGGAACCCCCCTTTCTTTGCTTTCTATTTTTTCCCCTTTTAAGCGTTTCCGAGCGCGCGTCTTGACACGGGAGTGGGAAAGTCGAGCATCTCTGACCCAATCGATGGACCCCCCACGGGGGAAACCGGTGCCCGGACTCTCGGAACGTTTACCTTCCTCGTTTATTATCTGATCTTCTACTTCACACCTGGGAGTCGTCCATATAACGATTACCACGGTTTCGCAGCGTGTCCCCTCTTCATTTTGGGAATAGCTTCGACGGCGGAGCCAAGACGCGCGAGCGCCCGAGACCTCCTCGCTGCAGAGTACGTTTACACCGGTTACCTCGCCGCGGTTTTAGACGCCTACCGGTGTTGGACGTGTAAACGCCGTTTTACTCTGGTCATACCGGTAACCCTGGCGTAAGACGATTAACCCCGGCGGGTATAAACCTAGGTAAAGTAGCAGGGGTAAACGTACTCTCGTCGTCCCGGAATTCCTACCCCGGGCGACGGAGAAGACCGTCACGGGAGATGTATAAAATTATCGGCTCCGTTTCTCCTGGATATATTACTTCGCCCCTGATTACTCCTCCCTCCCCCTTACCTTCGAGCCTTTCTTTTTTTACGTTGACCCACGAGCGAGAATCGCGAGATATCGTCCCCTCTCCCTCTCCCCCCTTTCCCGGCAACAGCGCCACTCCCAATGGTTCTCCTCTTCCCCCCAAAACCCACACGGGAGACTCCTCGAATTTTGTAAATTGTGATATAAATAATTAACGATGTGTATAGGTTCAACGCGTCCACCCTCCCCTCTCCGCGAGCCCCTTCGTGGCCTCGAGGCACCGGAAATTCGTCGTTTCGTGTCGTTTTATCCCCCCCAAGCCCCATCCAGCCCTCTTTTAAACGGACTCTGTGAATATTGTGTATTATACTAAATGGTAATTAATTAAATTTAACTATGAGTTAACCCGCCATCCATCGAGAAACGCCGCTGTGCCCCGAGTCGACACACGCGACATCTTACGTCACCGTTTCCCCATCGGAACGCCCGCCATCTTTTATCGAATCCACTTGTAGAAATTTCTCTCATCCCCCCCAGTCCCCACCGAATTGTAAGATAGGACACTCTTTTGACCGCGGAAGACGCTCCGTTGCCAAGGTACATCCCCCTTTTATCCCCGTTTCACCCTGAACGTCCCGCCACCCCGACCCACCTCGCACATTTAGCATTTACTGCCGCCCGTTTGATGGTACGATTGAACGCGATCAAGACTCAATTGTATATTGTGTAAATGATAGAACGCGATCGTCTCCGTGGCGTCGACGAAGTCGGCTCGCGCGGCGCGCTACAGGTCGTTTCGTCCGATTTCCTCGGTTTAATTGCCCCCGCCATCTTTGTAGAGACACCCACTTGCACGGCCCGCCGACAGAGCCCCTCGCGGCCGTCCCGCCAAGCTGGCCGGAGGTAGAGAGGCCATCGAGAAGAGTACGTTTGCAAAATCAAGGATTCTTTGTACAAATACGATATGTATATGGTTATTAACTGACGACGTCAATGAGGATAGGAGGGTATCCGTCTTTTTTTCTTTTCTCTCTGCCGAAAGTCTCGTCGAAGGGACGACACACACCATTCGTTACGTCGCATCGTCTGTAAATTTAGTGGCGATTAGAGAGTGCAGGGGAAGTTGTATAGAGAATTTCGAATGTGTGATCCCTATTGTCTCTTAGCCCGTTCGTCCCTGTCGCGCGATTCAAACCGCGGGAAAGCCTCCGGCGAACGAGGAGAGTCGGCCGACTATCCGGGAATCCTTGTCCACGGGTCGAGGAAATGACGAATAGAGACGAAAAGGCGGAAATACGAGAAGACACGAAGGTCGCCACAGAGCCGCCGGAAGTGGGATCCGGCCGAGTTGCGCGCCTCCACCCTCCCCGCGAGCCGCGTGTCCACTCTCCTCTTGTACAATGTATAAATATTTCGTTATAGATGTTAAATAGATATTCGAGAAATGGGAACACGAGGCGCGCAACTCGCGGACCGCGTTCGATTTCTTTTTCTTTTTTTCTTTCTCTTTTTCCTTTTCTCGTTTGTAAAAAGAAGGAACACACACACACGCCCGGCCGTTGCGTCTCGGACGGAGGGAAAGAGACGGGGCAGAGGAAGGGCGCGGCTTTCTTTGTAAGATATTGTAAATAACGATTTATTAATGGGATTTTTGAGAAATTTTCTAGGTGGAACTTTTCAGCCCTCTGTCGTGTCTCTTTCTCTCGGTGGCGGCGCGTCGACGCGTCTCCGGGTTCGCGCGGAGGTTCTACCGCGGAGAGGAACGAAGGGATGGTTACAAAATTGAAATAGCTCCCTCGTAACGGCTTCCTCTTCTTAACACTGTAACGAGACGTTATCTCGATTGTCTCCCTTGCTTCCTATTTGTTTTCATTGTTCATTTAGACCGTCGGTGTCAGGAAGAGCAGCGGCGATATCTAAGCGCGGCTCCTTTGGTCTTCGCCAAAGGCTCTTCGTTGTCCTTCTAATTGGCATCGCTGCGAGCATGCTCACCTTTTCGTTTTTGGCATTCGTTTCCTTAGCCATGGCCCTTCGCCATTTTGGATCCGTTGCGTTGCCGTTAGCGCTCCATCGTTACTCGCTTTAAGCAATGGTGATATCCCGACCGATATCGAGTTCTTTTAGGGCGCGATTTATTCTCTACTGGAAGGTCACCGCCATGTATCCGCATCGTTTTTAGTTACTTCGTTTAATAGACAGCCGCAGTTGGCGTGCATTTACTCCTCCTCGACCGTAGGGAACTTAGTTTTTAGCACGTTTGCGCGTTAGATTTTAGACGCCGAGATGGATCGCGCTAATCCGGGTTATTCGGGACTGAACGACTTAATTCCTGTGTCTTCGTCTTCTCCCGGATAAGTTTCGGACGTTAACGACGTCGCGAGCTGCCCGTTAACTAGCAGGAACTCCGCTAGAGGTTCCACCGTCACCTTCGATCGCTTATCCGACGAGGAACCGTTCCCTAGGGTGCTCGTGTTGCGCGAAGTCGTGCAATGGAAGACGACCCACCACCGCTCATTTTCTTCTTCGAAAGTCACCCGTCCTCATTTATACCGATCGCATCTCTGAGATCATCTTGCCGGTGTTTCCGGAAGCGTCCTCCAGAGGGCGATGTCGATAGACGGCACGTTGGATTGGTTAGGTTCCTCGTGGAAAAGGCAAAATTGTAAAATGCGCCCAAAAGATGAAGCAAGGATTGAGGAAACTCCGTCCTCTCGCCTTCTACGCGGCCATTTTTAGTAATTTTCCGGTTTTATAGAGAAATCTACACGTCCGTCGTGAGGATTCCCTCTCGGGGAACTTCCGTAAATGCCGATTTCGTTGGGAACCGCCAGACATACATTCCACCCCACTTCCCCGTTCAGGGCAGACGTTTAAACGAGTTCTATAAATGCGACCCTCGGCACATCATCGCTCTTGTATTTAAGGAATGATGAGAGAATAGTTCCTTCGTCTCTGTAAATCACGCGTCACCTTCTTTGTGTAAATTTGAGAACGTTAAGGCAGACTCGCCGAGAAGGCGCAACCGCGGCGACGGCCTGCGCGCGCATCCCCCCCCACCACGACTCCAGAGCAGCGATCTCATTGGTCGACTCGTCGCGGGCCGTCTACGAGGAAGCGGGAGAGGCTTAGACCATGTAACAGACTTTAATAACTAATTAGATTGTTAACATAGACCGTTAGTAATGGCAAAATGTACGTCCAACCGGAATTCCGGTCACCCCCGACATATAAGTTCAAAATACAACATAAATCAGTGGATAAAAAGAGCGTGCTTTGGATTCAATTGGACAACCCAACAATATATGATACAAAAGAAGAAAAATATGTACAAAAGGAAATTTATTATATGAAACAGTAGAAACTTCTGCGGGAAATGTCATGTCCTATATCCGGAATTTCATACAAGACCTCGAGTACTTATTGCATTTACATGGATAAGTAAAATCAGCTCCAGTATTCCAGCAGACTTGAATGCAACAATACAGTGTCATTTTGAAATTCTTTTCAAAAATTAACCATTTTAAACCAAAGTATCACAGATATACAGACATGGGGTGGACAACATCATGTCTATACGACGCAGGTTTATTTCCACTGTTAGCAATCTAGTTTTTAACAGATATCTCTGTGCGTCAGTAACACAAAGTGCATCGCGTTATCGCGATGGGGATAAAAAACTAACCGGAACAACGCTTGACCTCGTACGTCACATCTAATGCGGTTTTTGTTGGTTTTTTAACCGCAACGCGTTGACGCGCCGCATTCTGTGCGCCACCCGGCCCTCTTGCGTCTAAACCTGAAACCTTGCGACTCTCCTGTTCCTCGAGACAGCCCACAAGTAACTCGGCATTTCAATTTGCTAGTTAAATCCTGAGTCGATACATACTCGTTGACTATCGATTGCAAGATCCCCTCGCCATTGATTTTCGCCGGCCCCCAACAATCGTAGCGCACGGTTATATATATTCTCCTGATTTTTACGCCACCCCTCTATTGATTATTCGGTAATGACTAATCGCTAGACATTATATATATATATATTATACATATATACATATATACATAAACAAGCCTCTCACGTAAGACTATAAATACGGTATAGAAGCCCGCCTTTCTCAATTTCCCCTCCCCGCGTTATCAGGAATTTCCTTCCCCTCCCTCTCGTCCCTTCGACCGTTGAGTGATAAGTAAGCCCCTTTACAACCATTTAAGCCGACGAGAAACCCTCAAAACCAGTCGATCCTAAAAAAACACATTTTTTTAAGGATTTCCCCCCGAACTGCCTGAAATTTCAACATACTATACATGAGCATGTAAGGGATGTCCCCACTATCTCAGATTGTTAATCTTCAAACAAGACTTAGGTTAATCCAAGGATACTTTGTTGAAAGTAATTATTTTCAAAGTGTCGGGACATTTGTTAAGGTCTCAGGAGTGATGTGCTGAGATTGCCGGCATTTCGTAGGAGTAGCCTTTAAAAAATGCGTTTTTTTAGATTAATTGTCAGACTGGTTTCCGAGGGTTTCGCCCCGCCTTAAGGTTTAGTAGACGAGCGTGTGGTAGGGCGTCCAATCGCGCGCCGTGCACACCTCGTTCGCTATTGTCTCTTATCTACTTAAATAAGCCACTTTGGGGAAATACTTAAAAAAAAAACAAGAAAGAAAAACAACCGACTTTTGATTATAAATAGTGTAAATTTTTTATATAGAGCGCGCGCGCGAGAAAACGTATTAATATTAAACGGCTGGCGGGCCGATCGCTTGCGAGCAAGCGTCCGCGATGGCGCCGCCATCTTGTGTAAAAAGGAGTGAAACACCGCATTCGGACACATACACACAGCCTTTTCGACATTTTCGTTTAGTTTATATTTCATTTCTTTCCCTAAGAAGGACAACAAGACGGTAAAGAAAAGCTGCGCACGTGTATAAAATACGTCTCATCTCGTTCGAACCTCGCGCTCGCCTCGCGAATCGCGAGAGTCGCGTATACATTTTATATCTCATTCCCTTGCGTTTCTCCTTCGATCTCGTTGGTTTAATGTTTTGCGTAAAGGAGGAGCCGAGTTCGAGTGGCGTTTCGTTTGCGTATATAGCCCCCGATTCGGCGATTCGCGAGGCGAATATTAGTCGTAGCGTTAACGCCATCTTGGTCTTCGTTGCTTTCGCTCCGCCATTTTCTCTTCCCCCTGCCTGGCCCTCTTTGTTTATCTCTCCCTCCATTTTTTCTCGCACTCCCATCTCCCTATTTATCCTTGGATGCGAAGGAGCAGAAGGAAACGCGCGCGGATATCGAAATTCGTCGTTTAGTTACACGTATCCCCGCGTCTACTTGTATACTCCGTCTCCGTTCTTCAGCGGCTAAATAAGTAACTTTCGCTCTCTCGTTTGAGCGCCCGTGCGCCGCCATCTTGGAGACCATGTTCGCGTGTCCCGGAATCGCGGGACGGGAGATAACGGGGGCCTCCATTGATAAGATGGGAATACTTATCTCTCTACTAACTGGAAACCTGATGCCCAGTTCTGGGATTCTGTACATTACTATTGTTATTCCAATGGGCTAACGATATCAGTTACTATCAATTTGGCGCACAGAATTCCGACCTAGGGGGCCTATTCTGTAACTCGTAATGACTTATGTCGTTATCGTTAACCTGTGTTATTTCAATCACGATTTTTGTCCTTACGAGCTCGAGAATAGGCCTAGAGCGAAAGAGCGTGGCGATTCGAAGCGACTGCAGCGCCTCCAGTTACGGGCCTGTGAACTATTGGGCGCGCTTATGCATCCTACCTTGCACCGGTTTTATAACTACTGACGTTAAGTCTCGTGTAAACGCCGTTTTATCTCGGTTTTACCGGTTAACTGCGTTTATACGACGCTTAACCCCAGTAGTTATAACAGGCAGTTGTAAAACTGCACGGAAGAAAATATTTCGTAGACCACATCACAAAATTCTTTGGTTAATTATATCAAATTTTGTGGCAGATAACGTAGAATATTAAAGTAATTTAGTACGTCATACCAAAGTATTTGATTAATTGTCTAAAATATTTTCTTCAAATTAACGAAACGACTTAACTAAAAGACTTGATCAATGAACCAAACTTTTTTTTTTTCCTAAAGACGGTGTAAGATAGGACGTGTCAGTGTATAAAATATTGTAGCGTCTGCGCATGCGTTGAAAGCAGCGCGCTGTTCAACGTAACCTATATTGATATACAAGGATGTAAGACTGTATGTTTGTATGTTCGTGGTGATAACTTGTACGTTTAATCCGAAACTACAGATCAGCGCATCTCCTTTCGCGCATGCGCACTAAGTTACTTAGCTCCTCAGTAGTCCCGCAGTCCGTATTTAGTGGCGCTGGAGTGCCTTCAATTTGTCATTCGTATGCAACAAGAAGTCAGTTAATCAACAATCATCCCATGTCGAAAGCGCCCATTCTCGTAAGATCACCAAAGTTAAGCAACGTGTCGGTACTTGGATGGGTAACCGCCTGAGGACGCCACAAAATGACTAAGTCTCCACTGTCCTCTTAAATCCAGGATTTACTTGGTCCGGATCCAGTAAGTCGCATGTCTCCATCGCATCAATAAATGCGCAGGCTCGATCCTGAGCGTTAAGATTGACACTTAAATTTGGATTTACTGGGTCTGGACTGGATAAATCCCGGATTTCGAGTACGATGGAGACGTAGTCAATGTTGACACTACAAAAAAAAAAGAGAAACGGAGATGGATACGGAAATCAGCTCCCAGTTAGTACAGAGATCGGTGGCTGCGCCTTTGTTTACGGCGCATCTTGCGTGGACCGACTGGCGCGCCGCCTGTCGCTCCAATGCCGAACTAAACCGCTAGGCACGACCGCATCCGCCCCAGAAAACGGGGCGCTTCAAATTTCTACCGTTTTTCACCGACTTTTCCAGCGCACTCGCGACCGCTGTACATGATCGAATAGCTTTTTTCATACGTTTCTAATGATTTGGGGAGCGAGCGGAAGTACTCAGCGCGTCTCGCATTGGACAGGGGCGCAAGTGGAGTAACGAGGGAAAATAAATCTGTCTATGGCGAATCCGATCGATGCGTCGCTCGGCCTCCGATGAAAATATCAAATCGGGGGTTTTATCGAGGCATGAGGCAATTTCGAAGGTCCTATCGTTTTCTAGAAACCTTTTAACGGAACCCTAGATCACTGGACTATTAGGTTGAGGAATACGTTCCCGCCATTTTAAAGTAACGAACCGTAATTAAAACGGCGGGGACTTATCCCTTAACCTAATATTTCGGAGTAACGGTGCGATCCAACTGTCTCGTTCGTTATTTTTGCGAGTTCGTTAGTTGTCTAAGGTTTAACGGGTTGCCAGGAAACCATGGAACCTTTCGGAACGATCCCACGGAACCGTGCCTCTGTTTATATTGGATCTACTGGGAACCACCGACGCGCCATCTCGAGGCCCGAAAGTCGACTAATCGGCGCGACGCATAGAGTTTAATCATTCTCGGTAGAATGATAGAAAAGGTGATGAGAATTACCGTATTTTGCCGGTAGTGCGAGAATTTATGAGAACGCCCATAATCAATTTACCCATTAGTAAGGTTATCCACTTAAACATTCCATATACTTTCCATTAAAATGTCGCAATTGTCCGGAATTACGTGGAAATCTCACCAGAATAACCCTAGAATTTCCCGTAATGTTCGTGCGACTTTTGTCGGAAGGTCGGACAAATTGGAGGTTAGAATCTACCAATCGACTGTATATAGGTATTATAAATCTGAAAAACACCTAAGGTGTAAAAGAAACGTCGCCAAATCGCTCAAAAATCCATTTGGCTGGAAACTCCGCCGAGTTTCTTGGTTGTTAGAATTAAAGTTTCTAAAACGTTAAAATCGTAGCTGTAAATTTTATTTACTTTCACTCTAAATATAAATATTCATACGTTCTCGTAAATTCTCTGGGGAAAGACGTCTCGTGTTAGTGCCGACAATTTTGCGGTAATTCGTCATATTCAATTTGATTTGATTTTTTAAACTCTAGCGATCCGCCGCCTCGTCGAATCCGGCAAAGTGGAGCGCTGAAACGTTTGTACCGTTTTTCACCGATTTTTTCAGCCCGATCTAGCGCCGTAAATGTAATATATCGTCCTTCCTCGCATGTTCTTAAATAATTAAGGAACAAACGGTGGTCGAGAGGGCGCACGTGTCGCATTGGATTCGTCTTATGTAGAGGAAAATGTTGAATCGAAGAGTGCGTCGGGCTCTTCTGCGAAGCGTCCGGCGAACGGAAGTCGTTCTCACGTCTACCTTAACCTTCTCTTAAGGCGATGTGAAAGTGACGTCGAAGAGGTTTCATTTATAAAACTTTTCTCCCAACTCGATTTACCGAATAGTTTGAAACTTTACAACATGAATGGGGAGACTATAAAGAAGGTCCTGAAACTCATGAAATTTCAATTCTTTCTTATTGAAACTCATGAAATTTCAATTCTTTCTTATTGAAACTCATGAAATTTAAATTCTACCTTAACCTTCTCTTAAGGCGATGTGAAAGTGACATCGACGAGGTTACGTTTATAAAACTTTTCTCCCAACTCGATATACCGAATAGTTTGAAACTTTACATCGTGAATAGGGAGACTATTAAGACTAAGACGCCACATTCACATCCCCTTAAGGCGATGTGAATGTGGCGTCAGAGAGGTCTCATTTATGAAATTTTTTCCCCGAACTGGGTGTGCCAACAGCTTCAAAATTTACAACGTGAATGTGGAGGCTATACAGAAGGTCCTGGCACTCGTCAAATTTCATTTTTTGTAACAATTTCTAAAACATCCCTGAACAAAATATTAAAAAATTGAAATGTCATGAGTTTCAGGACCCTCCATATTTATATTGTAAAGTCTGAATCGATTTGATGCACTCAGTTTGGAGAAAAGTTTCATAAACGAGACCTCTTTGACGCCACTTTCATATCACCTTAATGTAACATTTCATGAAATTCAACATTCTAAGTACATGGCAAGTTTCATAAACGAGACCTCTTTGCCGCCACTTTCGTATCACCTTAATGTAACATTTCATGAAATTCGTCATTCTGGGAACAAGGCATGAAACTATTCGCCTTAAATCGTGAGTCGCAGGAGTCTCTTCTTCGAGAAAAATGTAAATTGTTAGCCAGACTCTTCGTGGAAGATTTCGAAAAAAGAGAGAGAAGAAAAAGAAAAAAGCGCGTCAGCCATCGCACGTATTCCTTCTCTCGCTCGCTCTCTCGCTCTCCCTCTCGATCTGGATTTCGGAAAAAGGGGGAGAGAGACGGAAAGAAGGTGGAGGGTCGCCCGCTCCTTAAAACGCGACTCTTGGAAAACGGGAGAAAAGACAGGAATCGGGACGAGTCGGTGATCTCATTACGCGACGCCGCGTTTCGCCCCTTCTCGAAAAAAAAAAAAAAAATCCAGGCCAACCTAACCTAGAATTTTTCGTACACTCGCATCGCCTTCCAGATTCGAGGGTAAATTCGAATATTCGATCAAGCCCGAAAACGGCGAGACAATTATACAATCTCGCATCATCCGCACTGATACAAAATCGAGGGAAATTTGCATACATTTTTACATACCACATAAACGAAGGGGTTCACATAGAAAAGCGTAAAACGGAGAGGTTAGAAATTAAATAATGTATAAACACACGTGACATTGTATATTTACCGTATTAGTGCGTTTTTACTTCGATTAGATGTAACGTTAAATTGTAATTTCCTTTAACTTAACATAGATATGCCGAGTGCGATATACTACGGAGACAGTGTAACTTCACTGCAATTTATTGTGGCATCGGAATAACCAACTATTCAGTATGCAAATTTACAAGGGAATTTTTATCAGTGCACTCGACGAGTCGTCGCTCTTTCAGATCGGTGAGAAATTAAGGAAATAAGGAAATAAGGGAAAAAACCACACCACTCGTTACGGCTCGATATGATAATGGGAGGTTGGCGATTCTTTCAAGTTAAAGCAGAGATTGATAAGAGCGCAGTAAGAGCGAGATAAGAGCTAAGCGCAGCGCGGCGTCGCTGAAGAAATCGCGTTATCGTCCCGGACCCCTGCCGAATCGGAGAGCGGATAAAGTAACCCTATAAATATTAANGTGGACTCGTGTTGGCGATGTTCGAGTAACTCGAGTCGATGAAGTACTCGACTCGTTATATCGCTTTGATTCGAGTCGTCTCTGATCGAGTCGTTTTACTCGACGTTGACTCGACTCATCGCGCCAAATGTATGCGGAATCGAGTCGTCGATTTGCGTTGGCGATGTTCAAGTAACTCGAGTCGATGAAGTACTCCACTCGTTATATCGCTTTGATATCGAATCTTCTCTAATCGAGTCGTTTTACTCGCTATTGACTCGACTCATCGCGCCGAATGTATGGGAAATCGAGTCGTCCACTCGCGTTAGCGATGTTCGAGTAACTCGAGTCGATGAAGTACTCGACTCGTTACATCGTTTCGACTCGAGTCGTCGTTAATCGAGTCCTTTTATTCGCCAACACGCCATTGACTCGACTTATCCCGTCGAATGTATCCGAAATCGAGTTGTCGACTCGCGTTGGCGATGTTCGAGTAACTCGAGTCAATGAAGTACTCGACTCGTTACATCACTTCGACTCGAGTCGTCGTTAATTGAATCGTTTCACTCGCCAACTCGCTATTGATTCAACTTATCGCGTCGAATGTATCCGGAATCGAGTCGTGGACTCACGCTGGCGATGTTCGAGTAACTCGAGTCAATGAAGTACTCGACTCGTTACATCGTTTCGACTCGAGTCGTCATTAATCGAGTCTTTTTATTCGCCAACTCTCTATTGACTCGACTCGTCGCGCCGAATGTATGTGTCAATCGTCGACTCACGTTGACGATGTTCGAGTAACTCGAGTCAATGAAGTACTCGACTCGTTATATCATTTCGACTCGAGTAGTCGTTAACCGAGTCGTTTTCCTCTCCAACCCGCCATTGATTGAACTTATCGCGTCGAATGTATTCGGCACCGAGTTATCAACTCGAGTCGGCAATGCTCTATCGGATTCGAGTATAACTCGAGTTGGCAAAGTATTCGACTCGTCCCATCACTAGTTCCAACTGCCAAGGGCGCTGAGACAGTCGTTGTTGGTCGGTGCGAGAAAGTAACCATTAGCCCGTAACGCAACTTTTCCTCCCTCGGCTAGGAATCCAGAGACGATAGATCGCTCGTTAACAACCCGCGGGAATGGTGCGCCCTGATATTAAAGACTGATGTACAGTAAGCGCGCTATTCTCTCTTATAAGATACACACAATTACGCCTGTCGTCCCTCTGCTCGCCCGTGGGAACGCGTTCATCGACTGCGAGATTCAAATCGCGCGCCGCCGTAGCGTGGCCCGCGCGGCTGCGCAGTGGGGCGCGGAGCGCCACGCCACGGCGCCGCGCGGAACAATCCGGCACGTACTCCTCGTAACGGCGCGACCCAACACAGAGTCTACATTCTATATTTATATATGTGCATATAATTATAGATATATATATATGTATGTAATCGAGGCGTGCGCCACGGCTAAGCACGAGAGTCGCGTAGATCCCGCAGGAGGTCCTCCCCCTTTGAAAATCGCCGATCGCGGACGGCTGTGCGCCATCTCAGGGTAGTCTTTTAGATTATTCGGGACATGTACATACAAACTAAAGGAGGGAACGTTTCGGAAGGCTCCGAGGGCGTCGCGACGCTTCCACAAGGTCCGACGTTCGAGAAGCTTCTCCTAATAATAGGAATCGCGTCGGAGAAACAGCGGGAAAAGAAGGAACTAACAGGGCAAAGTAAGCCTCGCGTGGGTTTCATTAAGGTTGGAAGCTTTTCAATGTCATACGAAGGTCGTAGCCCTAAAAGGGCGCCCTTTGGGGGCGTCGCGGCGGTCCTCGACGTTACAAACGGTGATGACGGTGTTGACAATCGCCTTTTTTCTAATAGTGATATCACTTCGACGTGCGGCCGATAGAAATTTTATATTGCCAAACAGCGCGGACGTGATCGGGTCATTTTCAAAACACGACACACACATACACGAGAGCGCCGTTCAAGATGGCCGCCGCGGCTCGAGGAGACGCGACGCTTTCGGGCGGCTTTAATTCTTGGATCTGGAGTTTAGGACTCGAATTTGAGATCGGTCCTCGTTTGCTGGAGCCTTAGCGGCCATTTTGACGTCGGGTACTAATCCACTAGCGCCGTTACGGTGTCGCGTGCAGAACTAACGTAGAAAGTATCCATCGAGGCTCGACGGCCCGAGAAGATCGACTCGGGGAACAAGATGGCGGCGTTCTCGGACGCCGAGTCGAGATTCGCAGGTCGCTCGAGCCTTCCCGGAAAGCCGGAAAAGAGAAAGAAAAAAGGAAAACATGGGAAATCGGGAGAATCTCGTCCGGAAAGCATGGAGGATGTCGGAAGAGCGAGCAAGAGGGGCCGAGAGGCAAAGGGCGAGCGCAAGGGAACCGGAAAGAGGGTCGGAAAAAGAGGGAGGCGGAAAAGGCATAGGAAACCCTAAACGCAAAAGTGTATTCCATACTTAGCCGATAACTAGATAAGTGGGAAGCGGAGCACACAGGCATTCGAGGAAAGGCAAGAACCACTGGCATAAAGAAAAGGGGAAAAGAGAAAAAAAAGACAAAAAAATAATAATAATAACACGAAACTTGTATATTAGTGTATAGATTGTAGAGGGAAAAAAAACAAAACGGCTGAGAAAATGAGTCAAACCAGGAAAATCGATATAATTGCCACGCGAGCGAGAGCAGAAGGAGGAGAAAAGGAGACGGTGGTTAAGCCGGATCGTTTTCGACAATGTTTTTTACTAAACAGGCAGAGCAGCGCGAGTAGATTACGTGTCTCATTGTGTAAATCCAACCCGAGGAGAAAACGGTTCCCCCCACCCGTTTCTTTTTTCTTTTTCTTTTTTTCGTTCTTTTTTCGCCTTTCTTTCTTTTTTTTCCTTTCTTTCGATTACATTCCCATTGGCGACAGTGGCTTACCCTCGACGCGCATCCCCGCCACCACACGATCGACCTTAATGTTAAAATAATGATCGATGAAGCACGTGCATACAGACTTCGAACGTCCGTCTCGGGGTTTAAAGACACGCCGTTCGGGACGTTAACGTCTAACGTTACGTCTAAACCCACGGCGACGGCCCCGCCCGAACCGGACGTTCGTTTATCCGAGGCGCATGCTAAGAGCTGGGCAAACTTTCATTTCGCATTACCACTGTAATTATCGTTTCTCTTAAATAAACCGTATTGCGCAATTACCCACTGTGTCAGTGTTTAAACACTCGAGGAAGCCGCGAATCCTGTGGCTTCCCTTCGCGCCGTTTC